AGAGAGAGGGAGTTAGCATAGCGATAGGTTAGATGCAGCGACAGCTGCCATAGCTGTAGTTAGTAGTGAGTGTGTGTGTGTCGTGTGTAAGTGCAGAGTGTTGTGTGTGGGACATCCAGGGTGATCCAGAGTGCGAACAGTGAAGTGTGTGGGCGCACAATCGCCATAGCCAGTTGGAAGAGGGCTCTTATCTGGTTACGATCTCTTCGAGTACTGTGTGGGCGCATGTCGCCAGTTTGCTGTATCGCTGTTTGCATGCATGTCGAAGTGTGACTCAGTCGAGTCTGATTGCAGTTCAATGAATGTGCGTTTCGCGTTTATGTTTTGAAACGCGGTAAACAAGTGTTCAACGAATGTTTCTGGCACGGGCGTGATAGCTGGGGCCGGTCCACAGGCCCAAAAAAATAAATAAGAGGGTAAATTAAAAAAAGGAAAAAAATTAAAAAAGGAAAAAAAATAAAAAAGGAAAAAAAGGAAAAGAAAAATTAAGAGAGAGAGAGAGAGAGAAAGAGAGAGAGTGAGTTTTCCATCCATAGAAGGATGAGCAAAATGGGAATGATCTGTCACTAGAACATGAAAATAGACACTGCCAGATTTTTGGTCTTTGGCCGTGTATATTTTCATGTAGTCGCAGTGGATACTTCCATGTTCTAGGGGAAGATTCAATCCCATTTTGCTCATTTCTTGAAGCGTGGCAATGTCGACCTGTGTGTGCATGTGTAGGACAAGCAAAATCGGAATGAATCTTCAGCCAAAACATGGAAATATTCATTGAGAACAGGTAAGTCTCCAACCTTGCGGCTGGTCACACCTTGTGGCTGGTCACATGGTACTTCCATCGATAGGGTAAGACAAATCTGCAATGAACCCGGACGAGATAACACTCGTTGGACATCCAGATACTGTTCACAGCAACGCGCGAGCATCAGCGCTCGCGCAGCACAAGTCCAATGACTCGATGACAAAGCAACTCGAGTAATCCAGTCTTGTTGATGAATAATGTCGATCAGATCTGTTCCCATAACCGAGTATATACATACATAGACAAGAGAGAGAGAGGGGAAAGAAGAGACTTAGAAAAAGAAGAAGAAGAAGAAGAAGAAGCCCACTTCTTCTTCAGGCCAAACAGATTTGCCCCCTCTCCAGCAGCGTCATTCCAGATACAGATCCGAGTTCCTCAAAGTGCCACGTGGCACATCAGCATTCTCTTCATCAACGGAGCAGCAATGTCGCCTCAAAAAACAGGTACGTGTCATCTCATCCCCACAGTCCCTGACCTCCTTCCGAACGACGATAGTCTGAACAGCGAATGAACACGTGGCCCAGCCACGTCACCATCACACTATGTGGCAACAGCCACATCAGCAACGACACGTGGCGCTGCCACGTCAGCACCTTGTAGACAGGAGCAAGCCAGCCACCATGCCAGCAAGCAAGCAGCGTGTCGACGCTGAAGAACGCCAGCTCTTAGCCAGCAAATAGCCAGCACCTCCCAAACCAGCGTCGCGTCAAAGTAGAGTCAGCTTTGACTCGCGACAGAATGAATGATGTCAAAGCCAGGAGTCAACCTTAAGTGGCGTTGACTCGGGGTCAGTGCCCCGGTGCAGCGGTCCTGTGCCGTCAAGATCTTGATGCGGCGACAACCTGGATCGGTCTACGACTGCTTCTCCCTTGGTCCGATGTCTTGGCCCGGTACCTGCATACAACACGTGTGTATCTGTTCGTGGACTTGGGTACGGTACTTGTGACCCGACAGTGGACTTTGACCTTTGAATTTCCCCAGTCCAGCATTGGGTCTCACTTGCCAAACGCTAGGCTGGGCCGGGCAGTGCGTGGTCACACAGCCCGGCCTCTACTGAGTGCGGGTTACTGCGTTCCTGCCGACCCAATTTCGAGTTCCATCGCAGAAATAATTAACCTTTCAACCCACACTCATATGCAGAGACAATGTCACGAGCAGTTTCAAGGAGTTGTTGTTTGCTAAACCACCGATCCTCGGAAGGTTTTTGAGTCTTAAACCTTACCTTGAACTGCTTCTGCGGTCGTCCACGCCTTCCGGTGGAGAAGAACCCATGGTCTACAATCCGATCTACTTCAYAACTTCCKTYCATCRAAGGTGGAATCATAGAAGSCCTGTTAGGAAACTSATCTCCCTCCACATAYGGTAGCAACTTAGAGGCATGGAATACASGRTAGGTTTTGAKATGCGGGGGAATATCRATTCTGTAGGRCGGTCCSTYTGCATCTCCAATTACTTTGAGRACTTCCCAGGGCCCAAAGTAGACAGGCAGCAATTTCTGTGAAACATCTTCTTCCAAGGAGAACTCATTAGACTTTACCCAAACCATGTCACCTACTTGAAAGTTAGCAGGTCTTCGATGTTTGTTGGCCTGGTTAATCATTTGTTCTTGTGCTTTCTTTAGGTTCTCCTTAATTTTCTGGATGTCTTCCTGGAACAGAACTGCATATTCACGAGTCCCTGGCGGTGGCCGTAAAAATTGGTCCCTGGTCAATACATCAATGGGACGTCGCGGCTTCCACCCTTTATGTAGTGCATTAGGAGTGCGTCCGGTTGCAGTGTGGACGCTGCTGTTGTACGCACTAGCTATTTTCGGTAAGTTCTCGTCCCAAGCAATCTGATCGGGCCGGATATACATGCGCAAGAGATGTTGGCACAAGCGGTTCATTTGCTCGCTTTGCCCATTCGTTTCAGGATGGCGTCCTGACGACATGGTCAAACGAGTGTCGTATGCCTCCATCAGCTTTTGCCATGGCATACTTGTGAACCTCACATCTCTGTCAGATACAATAGACAATGGGAATCCATACTCAGTTACCCATCGCATCTGAAACTTCTGGATCACAAGCTCACTTTTCGCTTCAGCAGGCAAAGGAATAAATAGTGCATACTTAGAGAAACGATCGACTACAACCATCACTTGACTGTTGTCATTCCGACTCTTGACGAGACTCATGAAGTCTATGGAGATAGACTCACCTGGTTCGCTGGGAATCGGTAAGGGCCTTAGTAGACCCAGRGGGTTCTCAYGTGGTGGTTTGTTTCTCTGAYATACCAGACAAGTACGCACATACGTTAGTACATCTTCCTTTAGTCCTTTCCAATCGAAGCGTTCTCTTACTTCTGCATAAGTTTTCTTGAAACCAAAATGTCCTGCAAAGTCATGGCATTCCCCAATCAGCAGACTTTTAATCTCTTCTTTGTGAGGAATACACATTCGTTGTTCAGTTTGGTCTATCAAGAAAAGCAATCCATTTGTTATCTTATACTTGGGTAGCAGAGCAGGATCCTTAGTGACAAGGTCAATAATGGGTTTCCAGATAGGGTCATTAGCATAACCCTATCGAATCTGTTCCTGTACATCATTTCCAATATCCAAGTGGTTCCAAAGAAATCACTCTCCTAGACAATGCATCTGCCACAACGTTAGACTTACCTTTGATTGTCTTTAACTCAAAGTCAAAGGTGTCGAGGAAAGCAGACCATCGTACTAGTTTGTCAGAAAGTTTTGGTTGAGTCTTTATCCACTTCAGTGTCGAGTGATCTGAATAGACAGTGAAGTGCCTCCCTAACAAGTAGTGTTTCCAGGGTTTCAGTGCACAGGCAAGCGCATACAATTCCCTTTCGTAAGTGGAGTCGGCGACCTTCTTAGTAGGAAGTCTGGCAGACATGAACTCAATAGGTCTGTAACCCTTACCATCGTCCTGCTGTAGAACTGCGCCAATTCCATACTGACTTGCGTCAGTGGTCACAATAAAGGGAAGAGATGGGTCAACGATTTTCAGAACAGGGTAGTGAGTCAGTGCATATTTTAACTTCCTCATTGACGACTCACAGTCTTTGTCCCACAACCATATGGTTCCTTTCTTCAGGAGTCTTCTCCTGGGAGCAACAACTAAAGAGAAGTTCCTAACAAACTTCCTATACTAACTGGCTAACCCAAGGAAGGACCTCAACTCAGTGATGGACTTTGGTTGTGGCCAATCTCTAATCGCTGAAACTTTCTTTGCTTCCGGTCCGAGTCCTTCTTCATTGACTATATGCCCTAAGTAGAGCACTTCAGGTTTTGCAAACTCAGACTTCTTTGGGTTAAGTTTGAAATTTCCTTCGCGTAGCTTACCCAAGACGAGACACAAGTGTTTCTCGTGATCCTCCAGCGTTTTGCTGTAGACTAGGATGTCATCGAGATACACAATTACAAATTGATCCAACCATTGTCGGAACAATTCGTTCATAGACCTTTGGAAGGTCGCAAGGGCATTCGTCAATCCGAAGGGCATGACCACAAACTCGTAGTGTCCATACCTGGTTCGAAAAGCAGTCTTGTGTTCATCTTCGGGCGCCACCTCGATTTGGTGGTACCCCGACTTCAGATCAATCTTGCTGAAGTACTTGCATCCCTGCAGCTGATCCAACAAGTCGTCAATTCGTGGTAGGGGTTCAACGTTTTTTACAGTGAAGGAGTTCAACCCTCTATAGTCAATGCATAGACGCAACTCACCTTCCTTTTTGGGCACAAATAAGACAGGCGCTCCATAAGGTGAGGAACTAGGGCGAATCCATCCTTTGTCAGTTAATTCCCAAAGTTGCTTGCGCAATTCCTCAAGTTCCCTAGGCGACATTCGATAGATAGGACCTTTGGGAGTCTTGCTTCCGGGAATGGTCTCGATAGTGTGCTTGATAGCACGCTCAGTGATCCCAGTAGGTTCCTGAGATAGTTCTTTATACTCGTCTAAGAGTTTTTGTATCGATGGAGGATAAGGTGTCGAAGACTCACCAACTTCCTTTACCAACACCATCATTACCTCCTGTTCCAATTGCTTCTTCCTGACCATCGATCGAAAAGCTGGATAGCTCATACAACAGAAAGCCAGAGTAGAGTCAGATCCAGACTTGTGATACAGTTTGATGGCCTCGGGCTCATATTGTGCGTTTTTCAGGCGTACTTCTTTTTCCTTGAACTTGATTTCTGGGTTGGCTTCCTCGTGCCAATCCATTCCTAGAATCATATCAAAAGGCAAGTTCTTCTCAACTAGGAAAGATACTTCATGCACAATCTTCTTTCCAGTTTTAGTTCTGAACTTACATTTCACACGATCGACATAATGAGAGACAATGATCGTGCTTTTATCATCAAGAATAGACGTGATAGGTCGTGCTAAACACTTTACCTTCATTCCAAGATGAAACTTGCGAATAGCTCTCTCAGAAATGTAGGATCGTGTAGATCCTGAGTCTAAAAGTGCACCCGTCCGTTCGTGTGCGATTTCTACATCCGCGAGTAATAGTTCACCCTTAGACTTTGCTTTCTTTGCCCATGCGCTTCGTAGCGCCAGCAACTCATTACCAAGCTCATCAAAGGAGTCATCCAGAGAGACAGAACATAAGACAGGTTCACGGTGATCTGGATGATGGGCCGGAGAACAACCATCCTCTGCCACGCGAGTCGAAGAAGTGAAAGAGTTAGTAGGCGCCTTACCTTTCTCATCGTCTGACTTCTTCAACTCAGTAGGAGCAGATGCTACTCCACACTTTAAACACTGCGCATTGTCCATCCTATCCTGCCAGGTCTTTTGGTCAATCTCCATTTTCTCCCACGGCTTGAATGTCGCGATACCTGGGTGCGCAGGAAACGAGCGTGGTTTCCTCCCTCGATACGGACCTCGTGGTCCTCATTACCACGGCAGCAGTGACGTCCCCCTTTCTGGACTCACTGCTGCTAGGAACTCCTTCTAACGGTAGCTTCTCCACTGTGTCGTCGTCAAAGACGACAAGCATGTGGTCCTGATGCTTTTGGCGCCAAAGGACTCGCTTACCGTATCTCGCACCTGCACCTGTACCACCACCAGATTTCACCACAGATGCATATGACTGCTTAACTTGAGAAGTCATTTGCTCTCTTTGGAGAGCCAGATCACGAAACTGCCGGTACTTATACTTACCTGACTTTGACTCGGCCACTAACTGACTTCGTATGGGTTCAGGTAAGGCCCAGGCATAAATATACAGGACCTGATCATCCTGCAGATTTAAGCCCAGTACTTGCAACAAGCGATCGACCTCGCGAGACAAAGCCTCCACAGACGTCCAGTGTTTCTGTCCAATCGTAGTAAGCTGGTCGAAGGCCTTATCGGTCGTTGTCTTATCAACAAAGCGTTCCTTGATCTTATCAAGGAACTGCTTTAGAGTCATTGTTCCGGCCCACTTACCGATGTCGTCAAAACCTGCCACGTTAGCCTCAGCTAGGACCCACTCCTTTGCTTCTCCTCCCAAGCAAGACGTGGAGAATGCGACCTGAGACTCTTTTGCAACAGGCGTCGTACTACAGTACGTCTGTATCTCGGCGATCCAAACAAGCAAATGTTCGTCTTTCTTGTTGCTAAACGTAAAAGGCAATCTCATCTTTACCTTTTCCTTCTTCTTTGGCTTCTCAGTTTTCTCTTCTTTGTCTTTCTTTCCCCCTGATGGGTGAGGACTGGATGGTGGGGTCGGTGGAGGAGGCCCAAATGACTCTCCTCTCTTTGTTTCGACCCTGAGATCTTTCATAGCATCGCTCATCAGTTTCTTCTCAGGTTGTTCCTTCCGAACCTCTTTTTCCTTTCCTTTGACCAAGTTAGTCACATTCTTCAATCCTACGGTCAATTCTTCCAACTTTGCTTCAAAATGGTCGAGCCTTGTCTCCAAGAGAGCAAGGTACTCAACCAGTTGGTTCAGTGCCACAACCTGTCCTTCCCCTGCCACAGTTACCACATGCTGTTTGACTTCTTGTTCTCGTTTTGCTTGTTGTTCATCTTGTTCTTTCTTCTTTAGCATTTCCGCCTTGCGCGTTTTCTCTTTCTCAAGAGCTTCTTCCAATTGGCGGATGTTCTCATCAATCGTCTGTTCCGTGACCACCACATCATTTTTGGCATTTCTGCCATTTGCTACGTCTTCGAACTGCTGACAGATGTGCGCATCCAGTGCTTTACGACACTGGATAATGAACTCCTGTATCTTCAATAGGTCGGTGCCAGTCTGAGCTGCATCCAGGTCTGCCTGGGCTTTCCGCAGATCAAACTGGGCCCTCACATGTGACTCAGCCTCTGCACCGGCATCGTGCAGTTCAGTGGCCAGAAGGTTGAGCCGTCCAGACAACAGTTGTCGTCTCTGCTCAACCTGGGTCCTGGTACGAGGGTCAGGGAGCTGCTCAACACTCTGGCCCTCAGCTGGGGTCTGAACAGTCCTTCCTGAGACATTTCGATATGGGGGATCTACCGCACAATAAACAAAAAATAAACAATAATTAATTCCGCGGCCTCAAAGATTCCACACAGCAGATTACAGCAAGTGAAATGACAACAAAATAACTGTAGATTATATTTTCAATTGTTTTTTTTGTTTTTTTTGTTTTTTTTTTTCTTCGCTTGTTCTTATTTTCTAACTTGGTTTGATGACGTCGTTTTGCAGGTACCAACTCAATCAAAGTGACCAGATACAACACAGGTGAGTATGCCAGCACAGGATAGACAAACGACACAGGAGAAACAAGCCAGCATCAACAAACAATCAAGATGTCAGCATCAATAATCCCCTGCGTCAGTCCTGGTTAAGCAATAGGCACCCCAGCACGACAGCTGGCACTACAGCAATCCAATCATCTGTACCGCTGCTGTCAGTGGAATGCTCCTCTCCACCCAAACACACACATGTCAATCACGTGACACCCTGGTCATGCCAACACAGCGAGCACACTACACCTGCCACGTCAGCATCAAGTAATCAATCAACGAGGGGGGGTGCCACGTCAGCCAATCTGGTCGTTGTGTACAATGCAAGTAGAGCCACGTCAGCAGGGATACAATAACACCTCAATATTCCCTGCCACGTCAGCATTCAAGGTCCCTGCTCAAGCAATAAAGGTTCCTGTTCAAGATCCCGCCAATGTGATACAAAACCGCCACGTCAGCAAGATTGTTTCTTCAACTTTGGAAACGTCATCAGCTTCTTCCCACCAGCGCGCGCATTTGCCACGTCAGCAAGCGCGCGTCTGGGTCTTGATCGCGATAATCGTGAGCACGTTCGTCGTCGTGATGTCCTTCGTCCTCGTGATGTTGATCCTCCTCGTGGACGTGATCACGTTCGCTGTTGTGATTACGATCGGCGTCTGCGTGATCACGTTCGTGATCGTGGTCGCGATCTTTATCCTCTACGAAATCCCGATCAACGCAATCATCATCGTCGTCGTGTTTTTCCTCGCCGTCGAGATCACCTACGTGATTGTGATCTTTGTCCCGATCGTCGTCGCGATGTTTCGCCACGACAATCTTTCTTCAGCGTCGAGGTCACGTTCGTGATCGTGTCTTCCCTTGATCACGTTCGTGATCGCGACCACGTTCGTGATCTTCTACCTAGTCCTCATCAAGATCCAACCGACGCGATCACCTACGTCGACGCGATATTCCACTTCAGAGCGCATTTTTCGGAAGTACTGCTCCGATACCAAACTGCAATGAACCCGGACGAGATAACACTCGTTGAATGCTGATGTGCCACGTGGCACTTTGAGGAACTCGGATCTGTATCTGGAATGACGCTGCTGGAGAGGGGGCGAATCTGTTTGGCCTGAAGAAGAAGTGGGCTTCTTCTTCTTCTTCTTCTAAGTCTCTTCTTTCCCCTCTCTCTCTGTTGTCTATGTATGTATATACTCGGTTACGGGAACAAATCTGATCGATATTATTCATCAACAAGACTGGATTACTCGAGTTGCTTTGTCATTGAGTCACTGGACTTGTGCTGCGCGAGCGCTGATGTCGCCTCAATAAACAGGTACGTGTTATCTCATCCCCACAGTCCCTGACCTCCTTCCGGACGACGATAGTTTGAACAACGAATAAACACGTGGCCCAGCCACGTCACCATCACACTACGTGGCAGCAGCCACATCAGCTATGGTCACCCTCTGGCGACAGCGTGACGCCAGCGTCGTGCTCACCATACTTGAGCGCGCTGAAGCGGCGCGAGAAGTGGCGGCCCTGCTGCGCAGAACGGAGGGGGCGACCGCGGAAAGGGGAACGACGTTGGGAAGTGTCGTGAGAGGAGGAAAGGCGTAGCCCGTGCGCTGAGGCTGGGAGGAGGAGGCGGGGTGAAAACGGGCCCGCATCCGCTGATGGTCCCTGGCGGCCTCGTAAGCTTGCGGGGCCGATGTGAACTCGTATAGCCATAACTCGGAGCGGTACTCGAGCGGAAGGCCGGCCAAGAAACGATCGATAAGGGCAGCCTCGGGGAGGAACGCCACATCACAAATGAGGCGGGCGTCCTGAAAGACCTGGATGTGGCGATCCAGGCCGGCAGCACCACCAGAGTCGGACCAGCGTGTAGTGCGACACGCTCGAAGGCGTCAGTCACGTCATATTGGGCTCCGAAGCGATCCTCGAGGAACGCCTGGAAGTCCATGAAGGTCGGAGTCCGTTGAATACGTCCACCGACTGGTGGTCCTTCAATCTTGGTCCATATCGGGCTTCAATGTGATGGTGTCGACTGGTGGTCCTTCAATCTTGGTCCATATGTCGTATATGTGTGTGCTTAAGTGTTTATCATTGTAAGTTTTTTTTTTATTAAATAAAAGTTGTTTTGTCACATGTGACTCACTCAAGCAGGATCTGAACGTGTGGGCCGTTGAATACGTCCACGTTCAGACACATCTGTTTGCACTTGCAAATGCAATGCAGGTGTGTCGTTTCGACCTGCGGCCAAGGCCACGCCCTTTCCGATTCAGACTTTTCCACTTTTCCACCCTAGCGCTGCTTTCCCACCGTTTCGACCAAAACCCAGCGCGCGGTCCCACGGGCAGCTACCGGTTACGCATTTTTTAAAGAAACTGCCCCCCCCCCCCCCAAAAGTGCCATGCCCGCAGCTGCCTTCATTTTTCAAACCTTCCACAACCGAACGAGCCCGAATCAACAACCGGTGTAACGAAGGACGACGAAAATGTCTAGGGAGGGAAATGTCTCAGGGGAGGAAAACGCACCCCGGACGGGCTGCAAACTTTTCCACTTTTCCACCCTGGCGCTGCTTTGCCACCGTTTCGACCAAAACCCAGCGCGCGGTCCCACGGGCAGCTACTGGTCCCGAACTTTTCAAAGAAACTGCCACCACCCCCCAAAGATCCACCATGCCGCTACTTTGCCACCGTTTTGACCAAAACCCAGCGTGCGGTCCCACGGGCAACTACCGGTCCTGCATTTTCCAGAGAAACTGCCACTAGCCCCCAAAGTGTCGTGCTTGCACCTGCCTGCATTTTTTGAACCTTCCAACGACCAAACGAGCCTGAATCAACGACCGGTATAACGAAGGACAACGAAAATGTCTCGGGGGAAAATGTCTCAGAGGGGGAAAACGCAACCCTGACGGGCTGCGAACATATTACGGTGACAGATGCAGTGCCCAGGGCTCGATCCCTAGACCTATCCCTTTACCCTTGTACAGTACCCTTTGACCCATGCGTTTGAACCCGTGACCTCTTTCCTGAAAGTCGTATGTTCGGCTGTTGTATATCGTACGGTCAGAGGGGCTCGACCCGCATACCTTAGTCAAAGGAGTCATAAAGTTAGTATGGGTCGTATCTGCTACAGTTTTGAAAGGTCATAAAGTTAGTATGGGTCGTATCTGCTATAATTTTGAAAGGTCAAGTACACAACCTTCCAGAAGCTCCGAAACTAGCCTTTCACCAGTAGGAGTCAGTTCGCGTTTGGATCAGCACAGGGCATTCCTAGCACAGTCAGCAAAGGACAGTACTAGTCCTACCTAGCCCAATCAGCGGTAACCAGTCCCAAGGTGCACTTTGTCCAGTCAGCAAGTACCATTTGGGACTGTGCACACAGCGGGTCCAAGGGCAAACTAGCGACAATCTAAAGTATAAATAAGTAGGCATCATCAAGTAATTCCTCCATTCTGCCTAAGAGTCGTGCGGAAGCGCTGTCGGACCATCTTGTGATATGGAGGTCTCCAGGTGCCCGAAGAAGAAGAGGGCTAAGAGGAGGAAGAGGCGGCCATATCTGCGAGTTAGTCTAGGAGGGAGAACACAACCATAGCTGCCACGTAGGATAGGTTACAGTGTAGGTGTTATGTGTATGCGTGCGGGACATCCAGAGTGATCCGAGAGTGTGTGTGAACAAGTTGCTGGTGGACACAGTTGATCGGGTGAAAATCTTTGTCTAGCGCCATGCGCCATAGCCACATGAGACAAGTTTGAATCTGAGTTGTGTTCCTGGCCACGATTTATCTCTGAGGTTTGTGTGGGCACATCGCGCCAAGTTTGAACGTCATTTGTTTTGCATACATGCTGAGCGAGGAGATGACAACTCTGATTGCACTGGAATCGGAGCTGGTTCCCGCTGTTCCACCATCGTCGCGATTGTCGTTGTCATCTACGCGATCGCCATCATCATCGTCCTCGAGCTGTAAGAGGAAGAGAGGAGCATAAGCGCCACAAGAGCACTTCTCCGCACCGCTATTCCCCACGTGCCACATCAGCGCTCGAGCCGTGCGCCACTGATTGCTTCTCGTTATTGCGCACGCCCCCGCTGCTTGTCGCGCACCCGTTTCACCTGCGTGCCTGTTGCGATCAGCACACGCTCAATGCGCGCCCGCCGTACTTTACGCTTGCTTGCTTTGCGCGTGTTCCCTTCGCGCCACGAAGAGGACCACTGCGAGGAAGAAGACTGTTGTGAGAAAGAAGTTCGGCGCGCATCGAACAGGGAATCCGACATCACCGAAGAAGAAGGTCATCACTGTGAAGAAGAAGTTTGTAGACCGTAGGGGAAAGGGAGAAGACAACGACGAACACGAGAGAGAGAGAGAGAGAGAGAGAGAGAGAGAGAGAGAGAGAGAGAGAGAGAGAGAGAGAGAGAGAGAGAGAGAGAGAGATGTGATGACCCGGCCAAACACCGACTGAGACACAGCTGATTTTTGAGTTTTGCTCATGGACTGAATGCCTTGCCAAGTTTCCTGCTTGCTACTAAATTCTCTAAGTCTGTGTGTGTGCACGCTTGCTGGTCTGCATGTCTATCTGAGTGTTTGTTGGCTTGGGTGTGTATCACCCGAAAGGGCACTTGTTCGTTTGTTGGGCCTCAGGGCTGGTACTTACTTGTGGCCGTGACATTGAGGATTGCAGCGGGGGAAAACACTCACGTGGCAGGGGAAGAGGCCCGCAACACTTGAAGCAGCGGGGGGCACTCAAGTAGCAGGTAGGCCGGTACCACACCCTGAAGAGGTAGATGTGCCGGGTACTCTAGGTCGAGCACAAGAAGACGAAAGTGGCATTTTTAGAGGCCCAGTAGTTGTAGGCTAGGTCTACGCGGGTACCAGTCCAGCCAGTCGGAGTCCAGGGCCTGTACAGGCAATATCAGCATCTGCAATGATGTTTGCTTCTGAAAGGGAGGAGGTACCAGTTGCTTGGAAGGCCGAGCGGCCTGGAAGTCACCGCCCAAGAGGCAAGCAGGCCGCTATATCTCCAGGCCGGGCGAAGAGCCCAGCCTCATTGTCGGCATGCAAGTTTGGCGACACACTGGGTGGAGCGCTGGCTGGAGCAGCGCTGCTGGGGAGGAGCAAGGACACGGAGGAGGAAGAAGACCAGAAGGAAGGGGGAGCGCCAGAGGTACTTACCTGGCTATGGTGGCAGCCATCTTCATTACCTTGGTGGGCGCTGCAGCAGGGAGACCCCAGCGGGGGTAGAGCTACACCAAGAAGCTTCGAGGCAGAGTCGGGCATGGCAGCCTGAGCTAAAGCAGCCATACGTGTTGTCCTTTGGAGAGCTTCGTCATGCCCCGGTAGTTCGCCATAGCCTCGGCCTAGGAGGAAGAAGGAGAGAGGCGGCCATGGCTATGGTGGACCTCAAGTGATACCTGCAGTAGAAGAGGGATTCTTCCCTGACATTGATTCTGGTTCAGCCATTCAACATTGTACTATTATTTCTTGTGTGAATAAGAGAGTAGTAAGGGAGAAGGAGAGTGTTTGGCGAAGAAGAAGGGCATTATCATTTGTCTATGATGGTGTACATCATCTTCTTCTTCATTCTTTCTTCTTCTTCTTCTTACCCTCTCTCCTCTCAAGTTTATTTCTGCAATTGGACGGCATTGTACTATCTGATGAATGCATACTTCGAAATTGGCCAGGATCATAACATTGGTATCAGAAGGGCTTGCTGATGAGAGTTGACTTATCCACCCACCCTAACCCTAACCTAAGCGGCAGTGCTCGCAATCCTTGTGTATTTGTGAACTGGATCCGACCCAAATCTGGTTTGCAAAAAAATCCTACAACTGTACACAGCCCGAACTGCAAAAAATACTTATGGCCAGCTGTCCAAACTGGATAGTGGGTTTTTGCAGATTTTCCAAACTGCACCCGGCCCGGCCAGCAACCTGAAAAAATGTCCAACTGCAGCCAGCCGGACCAGACCCCAGCTTTACGCCATTTCGGCCGACCAGACCCACCGTGAATTGCCATGGGCCGCCTTTTTCCTTCTTTAATATGAAACATCGATATGACACTTTTTTTTTTAATTCAACTCTGGTTTCCCCATAGATTTTTTTTGTTTTTCAAGTAACTCAAACATCATTGAGGAAGGCATTCATCACACCCCGGGATAGTGGTCTTACCCATGGATGTTTTCATATTTAAAAAAAGAAATTGCAGATTTTCCAACTTCACCCAACTTCACCCATGTCCACTGTCAGGACTGTGTGCTCAGGGGCTTTAGAAGTTCAAACTTCGTCTGCCTGCTGCCCCAAGGCCGTTTCTTGCCCCAATGAGATTGAAGTGACACTCCAGAATCTCACTTGTAGCCCCCATGGAACCGAAGTGACAGACTCCAACATGTTATCGCAGCCCTGGAACTGCCTTCTGCAGGTCTTCAGAAAGTGAATGCACGGAGCTTTCATTTGGTCCAGGTACATTGATATTATTTTGTTGAAGTTCTTTCTGTTCCCGGACTTGCATATTTTTCATTCAGCCCCATATGGGCAGCGACGCAGGGCACGGGTGGAAAATATGAGCCTATATACACACACACACACACACACACACACACACACACATATATATATATATATAGGCATGAGGTCTGTATGGCTGACCCGCACAAATTCCGCACCCACCTATGGCCCGCAGCTGAACCCCAGCTGCACCTGCATGTCCCAAATCTGCCCCTGGACCGGGCCTGTCGGGTGGAGCTGGGCCGGCGGGTTGCAGCCACCGCCACCTGATTGCAGGCACTGCTAAGTGGTAAGGGCTAATGTCGCATACCGTAACGGTACAGACCAGAACAAGAACCGGCCTCTCTCACATAGTACAAGATAGCACAGCGGAAGGCTTAAATACCAATGATCCGAACAATCAATGTTGCAATGCAGACCAGATATACATCATCATCATTCCATGGTGCAAAGGGGCCTGGCGCTCACACAGGAAGAATGCGCCAGTCCCCAACCATACACAGACGAGGAAGAGGGGGGTTAGACGAAGAAGAGGGGAAGGTGGGAATGTCGTCAACCCAAGTCTTCGGTACAGGTCCCAAATAATCCCTCGTCAAATGTCTGAATCCCAATGTCGAGTCTGGAGCCAAGTGTCGTCAAGTCCCAAAGTCACCAATCTCTCTCTCTCTCTCTCTCTCTCGTAGTCTGCAGATACTGAGAAGTGAGGTAGCGAGAGGGTGAAGAGGAGATGGTGAACTTAGAAGAGGAAAAACTCTCTCTCTCTCTCTCTCTCTCTCTCTCTCTCTCTCTCTCTCTCTCTCTCTCTCTCCCCCCGGTACTAACCTGTGAAGGTGGCGCCTTTTTGCAGGTACATCGAAGACGAAGCTGGAGCTATGGCGCCACAGGTAAGTCCTCTGCCAACCATCTCTCCCTCCACTACTACTCTAGCTCCTAATAGCGCCCAGCGCTGAAGACTACTGCTAACGCTACTACTACTACTGCAGCGCTCCTCCAGAGTGCTGCTGCCGAATCCTGAAGACTGCCTCCTGCATGTGAAGTGCCTCGGAAGTTCCTAGGAACTACCTCATGACTTCCTCCCTGACTGCCTGCAGCCTGTAGGGCGCGGGCCAGTCTTATATAGTGCTGGCCCGTCCAGGAGGCTGCTCTTGCCAATGCCGAAACGTGCCAGACCCTGGCGTTGAAGTTCAAACAAGGGTTGTCTTGGTCGATGAAGTACATCCATCGTCCGATCGTGCTGCTCACCGTATCCTGCGTCTTGTAGTAGGTCAACGGGTTGTTGTCTGTGACCCATGTGAACCAGCAACGCCCAAGGAGGAAGTGACACCATCGCATGAGAGCCATCACGAATGCGAGCAGCTCCTTCTTCCTTGCATCACCAAGTGAATTGACGAGAGGCACTTTGTGGCTGAAATACTCCACGGGGTGCCAGTCGTCGCCGTCGTGTTGTTCCAAGACTGCCCCAATGCCATAGCCGGAAGCGTCAGTTGTCACTCTCGTTGGCAGGGTGGGGTCGTAGATGCTAAGGACGGGTGCCATGAGCATGGCCGTCTTGAGTGCTTGGAATGACCGGCGTGCMTCGTCATCGAATACGAATGGCACCTTTGGCGATTGTAATCCCGTCATAGGTGCGGCAAGCCTCGAGTACCCGGTGATGAAGCATTGATAGTAGCCCGCCAACCCCATGAATGAGCGAACATCCATGGTGTTGGTGGGCTCGGGCCATACGCGGATGGCCTCGATCTTATCCGCAAGCGGACGGATGCCTGGCGGCGTCACATAATGTCCCAAATACTCCAACACTTGCCGCGCGAATTCGCATTTGTTGCGGTTGGCTTTGTACTTGGCTTGTCGTAGCCGCTCCAAAACAGTCCGCAGGTGCTCCACATGCTCGTTCAACTTATTTGCCAAAATGGACAAACAATTAACTCTTAGTTTCAAAAAGGCCCAAACTCCGGCTGTAGACCAAGATGTCGTTGAGGTAGACGAGTACGAATCTATCCAGCATGTGTCGGAACTCCGTTGTCATAGCCGCTTGGAATGTGGCCGGGGCATTCGTAAGGCCAAAAGGCATAACCAGCCATTCGAAATGCCCATATCGCATCTTAAACGTGGTCTTGTAGCGGTCCTCCTGCCGGATCTCGAGTTGGTGATATCCCGATTTGAGGTCAAGCTTGGAGAAGAACTTGGCGCCGCCCAACCGTTCGAGGAGGTTGTCGATGCGCGGGAGAGGGCCCGCGTTCTTGACAGTTTGCGCTTTCAGCTTGCGATAATCGATGCACAACCGCAAGTCCCTGTTCTTCTTACGAAGGAAGAGAACGGGAGCGCCATATGGCGAGGAGCTAGGACGAATCCAGCCTTTCTCAAGAAAGTCATCGAGTTGTGCCTGTAACACAATTAACTCTTCCTCGCTCATGCGGTAGATGCAACCACGCGGAGGTACGGCCCCGGCCTCGAGGATGATCTCGTGGCGAATGGCCCGATCCGGTACTACTCCGTGCGGGGCTTTGAACACGTCGGCGAGCTTCGAGAAGCTTGGTGATGCATGGATCCGTCGATGCGTCCGTTGACGAGATGTCATGGGGAGGGAGGGCGTGGAGAAAACACACACCCATCTCCTCGATGTCATCCCTGGTGATGGAAGCTCGAATGCTTGCGGCGGACACCACGTGGCAATTGATCGAAGGGTGAGGAGGAGGCACCGTGCATGGGACTAGTACTCCGTTCCGATCACGAACGTGAATGGTGCGGCAGTACAAGTTCATTGGGTGATCCTCGCTTCGCAGCCATGACATGCCCAAAATCATGTCGAAGTTCGTGTCCAAAATGTCGAAGGACACGACCTCGCTTGCATGCGGGGCAAAGTACACGGGGCCGACATCAATTCACCGATCGATTAACTTGTGCGTGTGACCGTCGACCAACGTGACTTGTGTGAGCTGCGGCTTCCTCCGAACGCGTGGCCCAAGGCCAGCGCGTACCATAAAGTCTTGGCTCATGTAGTTGTGAGTAGCTCCGCTATCGATCAAAGCGCTGCAGGTCGCCTCTCCGATCTGAATGTGTATGTACAACAATGACGCGTCGATGTCGTTGTACCGTTGTGTCTTGAACTCGCGGTCGATCTTCGCAACATAGTCGTGAAGGTCATCAACCTTTACTCCGACATCCATCAACGGAGCTGGTACTGCAGTGTGCAAGTAATCCCGCAATTGTGCCATGAGCACGTTGCAATGCGGCATCGACAATCGACCGGACGGGGGAAGGGGCATCCATTGGAAGTCTGCGAACGTCAACGGGTCGAGCTCTCCAAGTCTTGACCATGACGTCGAATCCCCAGCGATAGATGGCAGCGAAGCAGCCGAATCGGTTGCCGATGGTGGTGAAATCATGCATGCGGTGGATTGTTGCAAGTGGAGTGGTTGGTCCAACAGTGGGACCAAGTGGACAGCGTAATCCTCGTAAGTGAACCGAGGACTCGCGACATTCGCATCCTCCCCAGATGTGTAGGAGGCCGCTAGCAAGGCGGCTGAATCTGGCGGAGTGAGAGGTGGAGTCGCCTCACCTCCCGCGCAACTCAGTTTCCCGAGTTGATGCGAGGCCGAACATCCTCCTTGCCTTGATCTGGGCATTGGTAGGTCTTGTGCTTGGTGTTGTTGCACCAATAGCAGCAGCCATACCGACCGCGCCACTTGCATTCGGCAGCGGTCAAGTGAAACTTGACCCACGGTGCAGGCTGTCCGTTTCCGGCCGGCGATGCGATTTTCGCCTTCCCTTTTCCTCGAGAGTTGTTGCTTCGAGGCTGAACGATGGCCACCTGGTCTCCCTCACGTGATGCTTGGGTGGCTGTTGGGTCTTCGACAATGTTGTCCGGTTGGACTGCAGCGACATACTGCGGGCGCGAACCAAAATTTCCTTTCTCCAACGTAGGTTGGCTGCCACGTTGACTTCTCGTGTGCAGCCGCCCTGTTGGTTTCGATGATCTCCCTTGCCTTGTCAATGATTTCGGCAAAGGTCGTGTATTACTCGCGATCACCAAGTGCGGGGCTCAAGGCGGCACATGACCGGTTGTAGAACTCCCGAAGCAGATGCGAAAATGGCAACTCGAGATCGGGCGTGGCCACAATCTTTTGCCATTCCGTGAGCCAGTCACGTGTTGGTGTGTTGACTTGGGTCATGGCGAAGAGGCGGTTGATGGCGAGCGCTGGGGCGTCGTCCACGATGAACCACTTCTTCCATAGCCTCATCAACTCTTCCCAAGAGATCTTCTCATGTAGATTGGAGACCTGGACGCCGTGGATGGTTGCCAAGTGGCTGAGCCAGATCTGGCATCCGCCCTTTGAGTTAAAAACAGCACGCTGATGTACGAGTGCTCAAGGACAAAAAGAATCCGAAGTTCCGTCGTAAAGCCCTCCCACCAGGGGACCACGTCTTGATGCGTATAATCATCGAACTTTTCGATGTGGAATGTCTGCATCTTGTACTGTTGCGCACTGGTGTTCCCATCCTTGTTGGGCAGCTGGTGCAGTTGCTGAACCTCGGTCTTCAAGGTGTCCAGCTGCTTGCTGATGGTGGCTGGTGCAGTGAAGGTGCTGATGTCGCCGAGCATTGCGAATACGTGGTCAACTCGTTCCTCCAATTGGCGGGTAGAGGGTGCACTGTTGGACTCGCCAGCATCTGGTCCTGGTGCAACTTGCTTTGAGTCCTGTACACGGGAATCAAGTGCCCGTGTAGCATCCTCGTGCAGATCCTTGTGGTTCCGCACCGCCCGTTGGAGATTCGCCAGCTCGGACTGCAGGTGGTTACAAGTGTAAACCAACCAGGTCACCAATTTGGCAAGAAACTCCTTGTGCTGCTCTTCCGGTGTCGCATCTTCGTGGTTCTCGGACGGTTCAAAATGCCCGAACTTGAGCTTTTCGATGCTAGCGGCTTCGTGCCGCTGTAGCAGATCCTGGGCCTCCTTGTGGCGGACCTCGGCATCTGCGTCAGCTTCGGCCTGAAGTCGCTGCTTTTCAGCTACTGCCGCCGCTTCAGCTTGTAGGCGGGCAGCCTCAGCTGCCGCCTGACGTTGTTCCTCAGCCTCGATCAGTGCGAGCTGAGATTGGAACCGCTGTCGATACTCGGCAATGGACTCACTGGCCAGTTGGTCTAGCATGTCCATAACTGAGACCGTCATGGTGGCGGGCACTGCTGACGTGGCACTGCTGATGTGGCACTGCTGACGTGGCACTGCTGACGTGGCACTGCTGCTGACATGGCACTACTGACGTGGCACAATTGCTGACGTGGCACTGCTGACATGGCACTGTTGCTGACGTGGCACTGTACCAAACCGGGAATGCAGGCAAGGGGTTGGGTGGGAGGGAAAACGCAGGTAGGTAACCAACCAGACTACTTTCCTCCCAGTCCTAATCAACAGACTAAAAAAAAATAAAAAAAATAAAAGAAGAGTCTCGTCTCCCTTTTTTTTTTTTTATCAGTGAGGCATTTACGAAGGAGTGCTAAGAGTAAGATCTAGGCAAGGCTTCGCAAAATTTCGACTTAAAAAAAAAAATTGGCGATGTTGAAAAAACAATTGTGCAAGGAAAATAAGCAACAGCGAGATGACAATTCCAGATTACACCATCACATTGAAAGCTAGATAGTCACACCGTGTCCAGAGAGCAGCATTGCACCAATAATACACCAATGGGAGTTCATAGTACTGAAAACCAATGTCATGGAGAGCATACTCTCTCCTCATCAACACAAGAGTCCAGTCCCTTCACTCTCCTACTTAGCGCTCAACGCCCAGTCTACTCCTAACACAGCTACTACAGCCTACTAATTGACAATGCAACTGTTGACATCAGCAGCAACCCGAAGTACTTGAAGATGTCGCTCATGCAGACCATCGCCAATACAAGGTAAGTGCCCTCACATCATCATCATCATCATCATCATCCTTCACCTATCCCCTGACTTTACTCCCACGTCTGTCCTCTCTTACACCCGAAGACCACCCTTGCGCCTCACTGTACATCCAAGCCCAGCTTGCTATGAAGGCTGGCTATGGCGCTGCCCTCAGCAGCGCCCTGCTTCACCACACGACCGCACGTGCGCAGCCTCTTGCTCCCAATGCCAGCAGCCAGCCCGCGAGCAATCGCTTCAGCAGCGCTGCGGCCAGCCAGCAAGTGACCGAATGCCCCCGCAAGAGGACAGCTCTTCCCTATATGGAAAGAGTCTGCCTGCTCGTGCAGCCTGGCTGGACTGGCCTGGGCCCGGAAGCTTCCGGAAGGCCCCAGGAGGCTGCCTGTGTACAACAGCTACTGGGCTGCTGGGCCTCATTCGGTTGGGCGCCCAACTGTCTCTGTATGAGGCTGCGAATCACGCCCAGGGCCTGCATTCTTTGGAAAAGCCCGGAGGGCCGTGGAAATGTCTTTGTTGCCCGGCCTGAGTTTCTCTCAACCAACTGGCGCGTCGCAACTGCCTGGACCCCAAATATGAAATTGACAGTCAAGGGCCTCTTGCGATATGTTAGTCCCGCCTTCACTTAGGGCGGGCACCTCCGCCTTCACTTAGGGCGGGCAATGCTGCAAGCAGAGCCCCTTAGGCCTACCGAGGACCCTGATCCTCGCATTCATGAGTCCTATGAGAAGTCTCTTATTCTGCAGGCATCTTTCCTTTGAGTGCTCTTTCGTAGCCTGCTATCACTTGAGGTGCTGTTCTCATGAGTTCTTCTTGTGTGAACCAGCGATCCTCCTTAGGATCCAGATGATGTCCGAAGCTCACACGATACTGCATTCTCGGTTTAGGAGGGCGCCCTCTGCCTGATGGTCGAGGAACAGGCATCACTCGATGCTCAACGATCTGGTCCACGTCCACTTCGTCGTCCATGGTTGGGGCAGCATTGAACTTCTGGAGGGAAACTGCTCAGTGGCAGCAAAAGGTGCTAACTTGGAGGGATGGAACATAGGGTAGGTACGCAAGTGAGGTGGGATGCGGATTACATATGAAGAACCATCTGGTTGATCTCCTGCAATGTCTAAGATCTCCCAGGGCCCAAAGTACTGTGGCATTAGCTTGCGGGATATGCCTAACTGCTGGCCAAGCTCAACGGACTTAACCCAGACTCTCTCGCCTACCTGAAAGTTAGAAGGCCGTCTATGTTTATTCTCAGATGCAATCACTGCTTCCTGAGATTTCCTAATATGTTCAACGGCCTGTTGCAGCATCTGTTCATACTTAACAGCAAACTCCTTGCTGCCAGGTGCTGCCGTGGGTTGTCTTTCTGGTAGCAGAAAGTCGAGCGCAGATCCGGGCTTCCAATCAAGATGTAGCTGGTTGGGAGTCATACCGGTGGTACTGTGTACAACATTGTTGTACAGGCTGGCGACGAGAGGTAACTTTTCGTCCCAATCATCCTGGCTTGGCTTAATATAATGCCGAAGCAGGTGCTGCACTACCCAGTTCATCTGTTCTGCCTGGCCATTTGACTCGGGGTGATTCCCTAACGTCATTTGGAGCCTTGTGCCCATTTGTTCAGCAGTAGACTGCCACAGTTCACTCGTGAACCTTACATCCCTATCACTAACGATAGACGTAGGTAGACCGAAGTCCCTTACCCAGTTGTCCATGAATAGTTTGATGACAGAGTCAGTTCTAGCAGTTTCTGGCATAGCGATCAGTCTTGCATACTTGGTAAAGCGGTCCACTATTACGCAGATGTGCCTTTTGTCGGACTTACTGGTCACAAGAGCATCCATGAAGTCCATGGACACACTCTGGCCAAGACCTTCAGGAATCGGCAAGGGCTTGATGAGCCCAAGTGGTGCCTTAGTCCTAGATTTGTCCCTTTGACAAACTTGGCATGTTTCAACATAGCGTTTCACATCTTCCATCATAGAGGGCCACCAGAATCTCTGCACCAAGTTCGCTGACGTCCTCCTATAGCCAAAATGACCAGTTGCATCATGACATTCTCCTAAAAATAGATTACGCAAAGACTCGCTATTAGCAACACAATCTTTTATTCCCTGCCTTTTCGAGAAACATCAAGCCATCTACCATCGTAAATTCGTCCAAAGTCTTTTTATCCTTTGCTTGGAATCTACGGATGATCTCAGACATAACTGGATCTCCCTTATAGGCTTCCACCGGCGATCGAGTGAGTTTGTCAGATATGCCAAACTCAGTGACTAGCGCGCCCAGATAGTCTGCCCTTTGCGATAATGCATCAGCCACTTTGTTATACGTACCCTTGATGGGATCAAGTTGATAGTCAAACATGTCTACAACTTGTATCCATCGTTTGAGTGCGTCCGAAAGTACGGGTTGTGTCTTGATCCAGCGCAAAGTTTCATGGTCAGATCTCAAGTAGAAAAATCTACCTAGCAGGTAGTGTCTCCAGTGAACAAGCGCTCTATATAGGGCATAGAGTTCTCTCTCATACGTGGGCTTGGCTAATTTTTGAGATGGCATCTTCTTGCTCATATACTCGACCGGTCTCAACTTTGACCCACCCTGTTGCGCAAGGACCGCACCAATGCCATATTGGCTGGCGTTTGTGGCCACAACAAATGGCTTGTCAGGATCAGGAAGTTTGAGAACTTCGTAGTGTGTATAAGCGTACTTCAATTTCTTGAAGCTTGCTTCACACTCCTCAGTCCACTCCCACGGGGTGTCAAGTCGAGTTAGATCTGTTAATGGGGTAGTACTATAGTTCTTCACAAACGGACGATAGTAGCCCGTCATCCCCAAAAACGATCTGACAGTAGGTCTGGGCCAGTCACGTATGCTGGCCACCTTGGCATCATCAAGCCTCAGTCCATCTGCTGAGATTTCATGACCCAAGTACAAGATCTTGGTGCGACCAAACTCGCATTTCTCCAAGTTAACCTTGTACTAGTGCTATCTTAGGAGACCTAGCACTGTTTTCAAGTGCTCAACGTGCTCCTCTACAGTCCTACTAAAGATGAGAATATCGTCGAGGTACACGACGATAAACTTGTCTAAGTAGTCATGAAAAATCATATTCATCGCATGCTGGAACGTACCAGGTGAATTGCATAGTCCAAAGGGCATCACCACAAACTCGTACAAACCGTACCTGGTCTGAAATGTAGTTTTGTGCTGGTCCTCAGGTCTAATGGCAATTTGATGGTATCCGGACTTCAGATCTATCTTGGTGAAGTACCGGCATCCCTGCACTCTATCCAAGAGGTCGTCGATGCAAGGTAGGGGCTCCGCGTTCTTAACAGTGATGGCATTGAGGCCCCTATGATCAATGCACATCCTCAAGGTACCTCCCTCCTTAGGTACGAATAGTACTGGAGCGCCGGAAGGGGAGGTACTAGGCCGTATCCATCCCTTCTCTGTGAGCTCCTTGAGCTGGCGGCGGAGCTCATCCAACTTCGCAGGAGACATCCTATAGATTCATCCTCTAGGCACGTTACTACCTGGGACAACCTCTATTGCATGGACAACTTCCCTTTCGACCATGCCTGTGGGCTCCTAAAAAAGGTCTAAATATTGAGCGACGACTGATTCTATCTCTGGGGGTGATTTAACCGCCTCCCCTTTTTCAAAGACAAAAACTAAGTACATGCCCTCCTCGCGATTTTGTTTATAGTAGTTATAGAAAGAGGAGGCACACATGCAACCGTAGTTTTCCACTAGACTGCTAACTGAGGTTGAGAAACCTCGAGGTAGTACATGCCTAATAGCATATCAAAGTGCAGTTCGTCGCTAACCAGGAAGCAGATCTTGTGGCTCACTTCCCCTCCTCCATAGGAGAAGGTGCAGACTACGTCCTTGACATAATCCTTTACCACCATTTGGTGCTTGTTGGCTAGCGTAGAAGCTACAGTTCTGCTAAGCCGCTGCACTTGGTCCCCTAAGCGCAGTCTATCCACACAAACACGACTGATGAAGTTTCGTGTAGAGCCTATGTCTGCGAAGGCGCCAACCTTGCGGCCACCTACATCAACCTCTACCATAAATCTGGGAAGTCTCCCTTTCTAAAGGGAGTGCTGCCCAAATTTCTACTAATTCAGGGAGTTAGACAAAATTTGACTTTCCAGAGTTAAATGTTATTTCTACTTTCATATTTGGACTTACATAGATTCTGAAAAGGCACCTTTCCTACGGGAAGCGCTGCCGTAGTTTTCTTAGTTTAAAGGAGATAAGAGAATTTATTTTGACGGATGGCGATTCTGGTAATCCACTCTAAATAGGGGAGATTTTGCCACGAGTCTACCTTTCTTTGGGCACTTGCTCAGA